GTAGCTTAAGTGATGCTTGACCTAATTAGATGACAATTATGCAAATCACAATCTAATTTACATAATTAATGACAAAAGTCTATAAATCTGCTGCGTTCCATGATAGAACAATTGAAATGGTGGCATATTTAAACAAGAGGAAGAGGAACATTGACAGATATTAATTATGTAAATTGTGACCCAATTTGATTAATTAATAAGAGAAATCTATATGTCTTTCATACTGCACTAGACCTTTTTGGTTTCCACCCTCTGTGGATTACATTGCTTTATGCCCACAAGGATAGCTGGAAAAAACTTTCCTGTTTGTTGAAACAACAGTATCCTTGCGAAATTGGCGAAAGTGGCGCTTAATGCTGCATTAATACTGAAAGTTTTAATACTGGGTTAATGCTGGGTTAACGACTCGGCCAGCCTTCAAACACACATAGATACATCATTCATAATGTACAATGTAGAAAAGGCAATCTTTCTTTTTATTAATATTTGTTACATGTACTGGAGCAACTGCATAACTCTTGTAAAATTTGTGAACCCTGACACAAGACTGCACAAATGTACACGCTAATGTTGTAGGGAATACAGGAAACCTATTCATATCTAGGTTAAAACAACAAGTTACAGACAGGAAGCTGTCAACATTGGTTTTAGTTGAAAAAACGTTTTCTTTGAAATTGTTTGTTGAAAAAACATTAGTGGCCCAGTGCCCCAGCAGAGCGTGCTTTACTTGACAGGTCTGTGGCCCCCAGTGTGAACATCTGGAATTAGCCTGGTTGCCAGACCCATAGCACACTGGACACAAAGTATCTCAGTTTGGCACCCAGGTAAATCTGGAATATGGATAATGTGAATAGGTTTCCCGTAATACCTACAACATTAGCATGTACATTTGTGCAGTCTTGTGTAGTACATTTGTGCATATCGTATCGTAATGCAACAGGAGTTAAAGATTTAAACCCGATATAAGGTCACAAACTTTGTTTTAATCGATAACATAGTTGGTATACTGTACACAATGGCCAGGTCACTAGAAGGAAGTGGTCTGAACGCATTGAGCAGTATCTAATCTTTATAAGCTTTGTGGCTTTAGTCGAGGAGCACGGCGGTATTCTATGAATGACTTTGAGTTTGATGCCTGTAATCTTCTTCATAATGGGTCGTGTGGAGAGGGAATAGAGAAGCCCTGCCATTGAAAGGATAGATTTTCACGACCATATTATGGTCCGATGGGCCCCCACAAGAAAACTAACATAGCCAAACTGCGTCGCCAACCTGAGAAATAACCAGTAAATAACTACTAGTTCAAAAATTGAAGATTGTTAAATTGCAACTAGGATACATATTTTATTTGAATTCTATCCAGGATAAATTGCATTGACAGGATAGACTGGGACGGTTAGGTAGGTCACCCGAGGCTGACCTCAGCCCTGCCAGTCGTACCTCTGGGAACGTCCCCGGAGGACCTGGGCTAATCTATACCACCATCCGGGCTGGTATAGAAAGTCGGGCTGTTTCCTGCTAAAAGTTTGATACGACGGCCCCTCTAACAAGTAAGGCATATATGATAAATGAGTTTCTCTTTGTGGAGGAAGATTAACTTTCTACCAGGCACCATGGATCACTGGAAAAATAGTAGAAAACGGCCAAAATAAAGGGAATAGTATGCCGCTAAAGGGTCAGATAGCCCGCTAGAGAGATACAACTCACCGGGAGGAACCCATTTATCTTACATACCACATACCATCACAACAATTGGCCAGTTTGTGTGATTTTGTAACTTGCAATTGTCTTCAATGTATTGGACATCGCACGCTTCAACAACACTGGCTGCATAGAAGAATAATTTAGTTGAAGGAGTTTTTGCCGTTTTGAAGTTTGGATCACCGCGTATCGGAGGGAAGAAAACAACCTTTCGCGGCCAGACTCCCCAGGCCAATTCTCCTCTTCTTTTTGCCGAATTCTACGATCCGTATTTCCGTAGAAAGACATGGTACAGGCTTGGTGAATAGTCTGTTGCTTCGTTCACTACGATAATCATCTTCACAAAAAACCTACACTATACACACACACAACACCCACCAAAACAATATCACACTGTCGAAGGCATGAGACCTCCGAACTCTAGTTATACATTGTTTATGAAGCAGACCAGATTCCTATTACAGTTAGTAGAACTGTTAGATATTCTCAACACCACCATATGTGTATGTTAACACCACAAACTATGTATGTACATTTTGCCATACGTTATACCTGCTACATCTGTTGCGCAATAAAGTTCTTCTTCTTTGGCGAAGTAAAGTAGTCATACTTTGGACACATATTGACGGCGTTGTGAAAACGCGGTACCTAGGGAGGTCACCGGTCTCATCGAAAATGAAACTTACGCCAACGTTTGGGATGGGGAAAGCATTATGTCTCCACCGATGATAAGGCCACAGCAAGTAAATTTTATGGATGACGTCCTCCGCAGGCTTCAAATCTACATGTAATGCGAGAGGGTGAAAAAACAAGGCGGGACAAAAAAAAAAAAAAAAACAAGATTCCTACATTTTCAAATTTGACATCGCAAACCCTGTTAAACAAGAAATAATTCCTATACTGTGCTAACTTTACTTGCAACTATTGCAACATCCATTTGTCATTGTTTTGATTCAGTGATTAATTTGATTCATATGATTTGATTCGAATGGTTTTGATTCAGTGGAAACATACAAAATGGAGGATGTACATCACTGCATCAACATAAAAGTCAAAATAATGCATTGTGTTGCCTCCTATCTCTTCATGTTTATCTGCCATCCACGTTCCAGCATGGCAAGGCACGCAATTTTACCCATTTTCGGCAGGTTGGCCACTGTCAGAGGGAAACAAAATTTCTTGTTTTTTTTCCCCAAAATCAGGCGAAAATTAATGCGCGCGCTGTGTCCATAAAAATAACTTGCTGTGGTCTAACGCGGTAAAACGTCAAAATATTCTATCAAGAATGCCGGGTATGAATAAAACTAAAAAAAAAAAAAACAAAGGGCATACTACGTGCAAGGAGTTGTTACCATGTACATATCAGCATGGAAGTTTGATCTGATTGAATCTCCTTGATGTCAGTGATAGATACCCTTTGCTAGCGGCGTGCGTGGTGTGGGCGCCTCACCACAAATGTCCAGAAGGATCGGAACGATTAACTTTAGGCCACAGCATGTAAATTTTATGGATGACATCGTCCCCAGATTCCAAATCTAATGCGAGCGGGCGAAAAAAAAACAAGGCGGGCCGAAAAAAACAAGGTTCCTACAATTTGAAATTTTGACTCAATCATTGTACAATGGTTTTGATTCAGTAGGAACATCACATATACACAGCCAGCATCACTTTTATCACTGCATCAAAGTAAGAAACAAAACATCAAATCAGAGCCTTTTCTTGTCTCGATCTCTCACATACTTATCTGCCATCCACCTTCTGGCATGCAAAAAACATCTTTGCCCATTTCGGCATGGTGACCACTGTCAGAAGGCAACAAAATTTCTTTTTTTTCCAAAATCAGGCGAAAATTAATGCGCGCGCTGATGTCATCCATAAAAATTTCTTGCTGTGGCCTTAGTGTAAAACCACCGTGACTGCAGGCGATCTGATCCATCTGATGACAATCATTCTTCGATATGAAGAACGCCGTCTCAAACTTAAAGTAGAGTTCATTATACCCGACTGTTATTCCTGGATAATGCAATTGTGCTTGGGGGTATGCATGAAGACTGGAATGAAAAAAATGGCATTGAGCTTTGTGGAGGATTGAGATGAAAGGGTTCGTAAAATAAAAAGAGAAAGCGTACATCCCCACCCCCAGCCTCAAATGGGATATCCCTTACATGGTCCTTCACTGGAATGCGTGGCATTATCGGCACGACGCATGCGTCAGTGGGGCAGAACGATTATAGTTCTGTGCTGAATATGGTAACATGTCAGGGTTAGAATAGCTGAATCCGATCCTTCAACACCAACGACCTGACACCCATTCTGTATCTACACTAAAGCAATATGGATCGGGAGGTTGTGGAGCTGTTTTCGGAGCCAGGGAAAGGGAAAGGCGTGCGAGCCCGGGCGGCAGGCAGGGGCATCCGGCAGGGAAGTCTTATATTCGCCGAGGACGCCTATATATTCACCCTGGACTTGGAAGAGTCAAAACGGCGTTGCCATTTTTGTTTACAAAAGTAAGTGTAATATCTATTAGCTGTGTTACAACGATATTAGCTGATACATGGTAGTATCTGAAACATTCTCCATCATACTCGTACTCTGGTCCCGTCCTAGAGTGGGCGTCCTAGAGTGGGTGTGTTACAGACCCCAGAGGTTCTCGGTTCCTGTTACGTCACCGATCTTGTGACCTTGGGAAAAGCACTTTGCACGACTTTCCTCGCTCCACCCAGGTGTGAAATGGGTTTCTGACTTCAGTTGGGGAGGTCACTTTAACTTAAGACAGTAGAATGAAAGGGATGGACTCCACCTACCAATACTGTGCCCTTGACACAGTGGATAACAACGTTAACCCACTTCCCATACGGCCTCAAAAATGGGACTACGGGACTACCTTTACGATCTCACTTTACAATCCTTCAAGCGGTGGGTACTGCTTTCCCATGTATGTATGTACATACATAGCGCACATTTGAAGCGTAGATAACTTCTGAGAGGGCGGGAGAGAAGAAAAACATGGGTACTGAAAAAGTGAGAGTACTGTGTGGGTACTCCTGTATTCTCTGTGCCATAACATCTGCGGCAATTTTAAATTATTTGTTCGAGTTCTACCTTCAAATTCGAAGCGAAAAAATAG